GTTGCTTAAAAAGCCCCGCACATGCGCCGTGGCGCCACCGTGCATGCGCATGGCGTTGCGGCGCATGCGCCGTGGCAAAGGGGGGGGCCGCGGAGTTATGCTGCCCGGGGCCCCGCAAAACAGTCATCTGCCCCTGATTAGAGGAGTGAAGTTCTGGAACAGCCTTCCAAGGGAAATAGTGGGGGCAAAAGACCTATCTGGCTTTAAGATTGCGGCGCATGCGCCGTGGCAAAGGGGGGATTAATCCTCTAAAAGGAATTGCTCCATGAGAAAGAGATGCAGACTTCTGGGCTTTTCTGGAAGTTATTTAACTTCTCCACCGGCCTCCCAAGCCTGGCCTCAGCCACCTTTCCCGCTGACTGGACTCTTCCCCCACAGCCATAGGTAACTAATTGGCCTTTCTCTATCAGTGATAAATAGGCCAATGGAGGGATGATTGGAGTTACTATAGAGAACTTTTCTTGGGTGTCTGGCTGATGAGTCTAGCCCACATGCTCGGGGTTTAGCTGATCGCTATATTTGGGGTCGGGAAGGAATTTTCCTCTAGGGTAGATTGGCAGAGGCCCTGGAGGTTTTTCGCCTTCCTCTGTAGCATGGGGCACAGATCACTGCTAGAGGATTCTCTGCATCTTTGGGTCTTTAAACCATTTGAGAACTTCAATATCTGAGATATAGGTGAGAGGATTATTCTAGGAGGGGGCGGGTGAGATTCTGTGGCCTGCATTGTGCAGGGGGTCAGATTAGATGATCATAATTGTCCCTTCTGACCTTAAAGTCTATGAGTCTATGTACCTACAGTGTTTAAGACCACCAGATCATATAGTTTGACTACTAGCACGTCACAGGCCAGCAGTACCTTCACATTAAATCCAACAACCAGAACTAACCCAAGTATTATAGTCCACGGTGTTACACTTGTAGAAATAGAACTATCAGAATCTTATTTGGCAGAATTCATTTATAGTCCCTAGCTACCAAAATTGTCCACCACAGTTCTAAAGTTGGGATATCATTACCAGCCTCAGTTGTTTATGTTATTCCATTGGCCAGGTGGTCTGGGGAAGGAGGGGAGTTGGGTCATGACAGTGCACACTGATGCTCCTGGAGGATGATTACAGAACTGAAAGTCCTAATTCTGTAGTTTTTATATATTTTAGTCTATAGATCTTGTCCTGTCTCACTGCGCCAGGGCACTGTCTGACCGAGAGTCATCAGTTAATGGCAGATGGAACTTTAATCTTTTTTTCTTGATGGGGCTTTTGTCAGTGCTTCTTGGATAGGTTCTTTTACAGGGCTTTGCATTGTTCTTTGGCCGTCAAGATTTTGCTGGCAGTTAGTTACTCAGAAAGGCTGGCTTCAAGGACTGATCCCTTTATACCCACACTAACATGCACACTTTTAAATGAGATGACAGTCACACACCTAACTTCAAAGGGTATGTCTACACTACCCTCCTAGTTCGAACCCCGCGGCTACACGGGGCTCGAACTAGATTGTTCGGACTAGGATTCCTATTCCGAACTACCGGTACACCTCGTTGCACGAGGTTCGAACCAGCGGGGTTTTAAAAATGGCGGCTCCCCGCTTATGCAAATGAAATCCCGGGCTTCATTTGCAAGTGCGGTATGCCTACATTACCCCGCTAGTTCGAACTAGCGGGGTAGTGTAGACATACCCAAACAGAGATAAGGCAGTACAAAGTTTGAAATCGGATTTCAGTTACAATATGGAATCAGCAAAAGTGGCAAGGAGTCCTGTGGCACCTTAAAGACTAACTGAAGTGTTGGAGCATAAGCTTTTGTGGACAAAGACCCACTTCGTCAGATGCATGACGAATCACTTTACTTACGGGCTATGTCTAGACTGGCATGATTTTCCGCAAATGCTTTTAATGGAAAAGTTTTTCCGTTAAAAGCATTTGCGGAAAAGAGCGTCTAGATTGGCACGGACGCTTTTGCGCAAAAGCGTCCGTGCCAATCTAGACGCTCTTTTCCGCAAATGCTTTTAATGGAAAAGTTTTTCCGTTAAAAGCATTTGCGGAAAAGAGCGTCTAGATTGGCACGGACGCTTTTGCGCAAAAGCGTCCGTGCCAATCTAGACGCTCTTTTCCGCAAATGCTTTTAATGGAAAAGTTTTTCCGTTAAAAGCATTTGCGGAAAAGAGCGTCTAGATTGGCACGGACGCTTTTGCGCAAAAGCAGTTTTTGCGGAAAAGTGTCTGTGCCAGTCTAGATGCAGCCACAATGTATTAACAGTTTAAAATGGGGTTTCAGTTACAATATATAAACAAACTACAAAAAAGTTACAGTAACACATTAACATTCAATGAAGGTACTAACAGCTCTTTGTCTATGTAGATTCTTGTGTTAGTACCCTTCCTATCTAATAACTATCCAATCTTTAGGTGCTTATAGGTTACCAGCTCTGCCTACTTGTTTTTCCCTTGGATATTTTCATACCCTCTTCTCCTTGTTTCCCTCCCCCTTCTTCTTTTTCCTTCCCCTCTTTCCTGCACATCCTAAACTCAAAATTCCGGTCATCTGAAGAAGTGGGCTGTGCCCACGAAAGCTCATGACACCATATGCATGTTTTGTTAGTCTATAAAGTGCTACCAGAACATTTGCTGCTTTTTAAGTTTATCCTGTACAGACTAACTCGGTTACCCCCTGAAGATTCTTCACAGGCAGTTCTCAACAGATTACCAACAAATTAATCCAAATCCCGTTTATAAAAGTGGGCCGCAATTCATGAGGTTACATAATGTCACATTGGTAGCTATAATTCATTTAAAGGGTGATTTCATTCTTCAGCTCTGCAACAGGAAATTAGACTGTTATGTGTCACAAGCAGAGACCAGGAGGGACTGTGGTGCCCTGTATTTGAGGCCCCCACAATGTCAATGATGTGTGAGCTTGGTTTTTTTTAATGTAAATATCACTTACAAATTAGACTTCACAAGTAAATTGATTTTGCTGGTTTTGTTATTATAGAAGAAAAATTTAAAAATCCCACTGCTGTGACTCACACCTGAAATTCAATAAAACTTTCAACAGCGTGTATTGCTAAACCAGAGTGAGGAGCAAGGAATCATAGATACAAAGGATAGAAAAGATTATGCAGGATAAAACAGTATTTGGCAGGCCTACACCCTCCACCGTTCCTATTGTTGTCACACCTTGCCTGGTCTTTTTTTATTACTATTTATTGTTTATATTAGGGTAGCACTTGGGGTCCCCCACCAAGATCAGATCCCCGTTGTTCTTAAGAGTCCCTTGTAAAGGGTGCCTTTCCATGTCACTTGGGAGCTTGCTCTTCTTCCATTTGTTTTTATTCATAGATATGGGCCCAAATCAACCTCCATTCCAAATTCCATATCTGGCTCCACCATATCTGAAGTTTTTACCTCTACAATGGGCAGATGCAAACCCATGAAACTAAACAATGGTGAACTTGGCACTTCAAACTCTGAATGTATGCAAAGATGAGGGTGTTGGGATACAGCCTATTGTGGAGAAAAGTTTCAGATATGATCTTGGATTGAAACCTGTGGTTGGTTCATATTTGGGGCACTGGTTCAGGACCCTGTCTATTTCGTCTAATGAACTGGGCCCTAACTACACACTCATATTGAACCTAAACATTTCCTCCTTTCCTTGACCATGACAAATTCCCTTTATTCACTCTATAGTATCAGTAACCTTGAAGCTATTTATGGACCCTGATCTCATCCCTCCTACGATCGTTGCTTTACTTGGCTTGATAAATTTAGCGCCCTTAATTTCTCGTTGTCACATGGCTTAGCTTGCAGTCCTCATAGCATTTTGCTGCTTTTCTTTCTAGCTTATAATGCTCAGTGCTTCTGAGTAGTTAGTAATAACTAATATCTTGCTTTTTGTGCTTACCTAGTGGAGAGTCCACATCAGATGAGTTCTGATGGTTTGGATAGTAGGAAAAGCCTGTCCAGCAGCCCACAGGAGAGTGGTAGGGGATCAGATCTGAGCAGGCAGACAAGGCATAACAAGGAACATTTAGTGAGGGACCCTTTTCATTTACAGCTTCTAATGGTGGCATAGATAGAAATGGGTTATGTCTGTGGGGCTGGAGGAATAAGAGAAGTAGAGAGCGGGGATGCTAAATATCTGTTAATTGAATAGTTGAGTAGCCTCATGAAATCTTATCGGTTACTCTACTATTCTATAGTCCCGGGGGGCGGGGGCAGGGGCAGGGGCAGGGGCAGCAGCCAGTGCAATCCAGTCCCACTCCCAAGGACTAAAGGTTGAGCAGTGAGGTGGGTTTTCCAGTGGCCTAGGGCAGTGTTTCTTAATCTTTTTTTGTATAAAGAACCCCTTTTTCAAAAAAAGAAAAATTGTCCCCTGTACCTATAGTTTTCAGACACACAAAACTTTTGTCTACCATTGCAAAACTTAATAAATAACTTAATCATAGCTAGAGTTACCAGGTAGACCCCCCAAAAGCCAGGAGGAAGGGGGGCCAGGAGGAAGGGGGGGCGGGAAGCAGAGCTGGCAGGAGGAGGGTTCCCTTGCTAGTTATCCCTTGCTATGTTCCGTGTCCCATCTTACATATCACCAGATGCCTTCTGACCCAAGACTGTGTCATTAATTTATTTTCTCTTGCACTGTTTTCACACCAAATCACATGAACATGACTCCTCAGACTGCACCTCACTTCCTTGTAAATGCCACCTAATGTCACAAGGAATGGGTAGTGCAGATGCATGACCCACTACTTACATTCCTCCTGTGGTTCTGCTTAGTTAGTTGCACCTGATGCTGCCCTTTGGGAAGAAGGCACATGGCTTTGCTCTTGTTAAAGTGAGGTTTTCCTGGTGCAGCTCAAGTGTCTGCTAGAGCACATGGTAATTTGGGACAAGGAGTGCAGGCGAAAGTTCCTCCCAATGAGAGAGATTTTCCCAGAGAAAGACACACTTGGTTCAGCTCAGGAGTGTTCTGGAACTTGTAATAACCCTTGTTGTTTCTCCAGGTCCGAGGTACTGCTCTAAACCCAATGGAATGCCAAGAGAGTGAGTATCTGGATGAACACAGGAAGTGTGTTCCCTGTAGGGAGTGTGGCCCCGGACTGGAACTTTCCAAGGTAATTTGGCTGTTCTTGGGTGAACCTGGATTGTTGGCACTGGGGGTGCTAGATGAATCCTCTGCTAGTCTTTATTAGAAGAGTACTGTAGTGTTAGAACCTTCTCTGATATGGGTGTCTTTGCCTTTCATAAGAACAGAGTTTCATTGGCTAGGGACATTAGACTATTCCACTCATCATGGTAAGTGATGCAGGGATGGGGCTAGGAGGATGGGAAGATGGAAGTATCAGTAAGTAAGGAGAGGTTTCAAACTGGTGCATTTTATTCCATAAACACCAAGAAGAGTGTATCGTCCCCACCTCCCAAGGGAAGTCAAAGATCCCTCTGGCAGATACCTCCAGTGCCCGGGTCAGGTTTATGCAATGTCTCATAGACTTTTAGGTCAGATGGGTCTATTCTGGTCATCTAGTCTGAACTCCTGCACATTGCAGATCACAGAACCTCACCCACTCCCAGTTTCTGTCCTTGTGTGGGTCCCTGGCAGAGGGTGTCCATCTGGGACCCCTGGCTCTAAAAATGAGCCTGTAGGCCTGAGCTAAAAGCTATCTCTGTTCACTGAAACTGTTGACTTGTCAGCCTCTAGATGTGATCTAGTCACCACTCACAGGGGAGAGGATGCCACACTGAATGGGTGTGAGTTACACACTCCATTGTGGATAGTGAGCTTGCTATAATTATGACTAGCTCATACTGTTTGATCCCAGCTGACAGCAACCCTGCCTCCCACCTCTGGGGCACATTACACCAGCTCCCCCCTCCCCGCAATAGAACAAGCTTTAAGTGATTGAGGTAATGTGTGAGCTATTGCTGAGGGCAGAATGGCTGCCCCATTTGTTTGCACAGGCACAGTACTGCTGCTGTCTGCTTCAGTGCAGTGAAAAGGCGTGGGATCCCCAAAGTGCAAAAAGCAACCGAGAATTCTCTCTGCCTCTGGAGAATGGGACAGCTGCTTCCCTCTGTGAAGCTGTTTCTTTGTCTCAGTCAAGGCCCTGCGCTTGTCTCTTGCAGGAGTGTGGCTATGGCGAAGGAAGAGATGCACTGTGCTCTGCTTGCCCTCCCAGGAGGTTTAAGGACAGCTGGGGGCATCATGGTTGCAAACCTTGTGTTTCCTGCCTCCTCATTAACCGAGTCCAGAAATCCAACTGCACTGCCACTTCTAATGGAGACTGTGGGGAATGTCTGCCAGGGTGAGTAGTAGGGATGTAATAGTATAGTCGATTAATCGATAACCAAAAGCGTATAGGTTAATGCTATAGACTACACGCACTACCCTCCCCCCTTCCCCCCACACATTTGCCAGTACAGGCAGTCCCCGAGTTACGCGGATCCGACTTACATCGGATCCGCAGTTATAAATGGGGACCTCTCCCTGGTCTCCAGCAGACCAGGGAGAGGAAGCAAAGTGGCGGAACACGCGGGCAGTGGGCAGCCCAGACGCGTCTGGGCTGTCTGCTGCCCGTGTGCTCCGCCGCTTTGCTCTGCTTTGCTCCCCATCCCCCTGGTCTGCAGACCAGGGAGACGGAGAGCAAAGCAGAGCAAAGCCAAGGAGCCCGAGGGCAGCTGGACAGCCACGGCACGTCTGGGCTGTCCTGCTGCCCCCGTGCTCCGCGGCTTTGCTCCAGACGCCTGTGGTACAGCAGCTGGGGCGCTGCCGGTTGGTCCGTTTCAGCTGGTCAGTTTCAGCAGCGGCTGAATCAGGATACCTGGGGCAGAGCAGCTTGGGTGCTGCTGGGTTGGTCCAGTAGCACCGAGGAGCGGCGCTACTGGAGCAACC